GTCAGAAGAATAGCTCATTTTGTTCGGGAGAGGTGGCCCTTTGTAATTTTTGGATGGGTTCTTCTATTACGACCTTATGGAAGTGGTCAGTGTGATGCTGAGTGTACGAGAGAGAAGCAGGCTGAGGAATCCGGGGAGGAGGGCATAGAGTAAAAGACTAGCTAATGGAGCTCGGCTTTGGCAGGTCTAGCCCACCCACCTCCACCCCACCCCCCTCCCCCAAGAGTAAATACTCACCACTGCGGGGCGGCCAGCAAACAGAACTGCCTTTGTTAGTTTTAATTTTGTTGATTTGTTATGAAACTAACATTAAAGTGCTGTGGCACCTAACGAACAAGAAAATCTACAAGCCAGGCATAACAACAAAAGCAGGTTCACACTCATCCTCTTTAGCCCACTCTATTCTTAACTATAAATAAATAAATAAATAAATAAATAAATAAATAAATAAATAAATAAATAAATAAATCTCTTCTAGTCTCTGCCTTCCAAAGATGGCGAAGTCAAATGCTAGCTTGCCAAATGGACACGCTCTCTCGGTGTATTTAAGAGAAACAAGGGCTTTGAATCTCCGAGGGAAGGAGCCCCACTTGAGGACATGGAGATGGCAAGCAACATTTTTGCGCATAAAATGAATGAAAAACAACACGGGGGAAAATATTTTATCCCCAGGGTAGAAAGGGACGAGGATCCTAGCTCCTCGACTCGCGGAGAGGAAATCTGTTTCTGAACAAAAGACAGGAGAACTGGCACAATAGCAGTTCCAAGATTTTTTTTTTTTTCAATCGCGACTTCCAAGGGCTGGCAAATCTGTGGTCCTCTAAGGAAAGTTTTATTTAAAAAGAATGAGTAATAAATCGTCTTCTTATTTACTGAGATGTTCCAAAAATAAGAAATAAGAAGTGTCTGTGAACAGATAAGAAAATCGTACATATATATATATATATATATATATATATATATATATATATATATATATATATATATTGGTGGAGGTGGTCAGACACAGAACATGCCTCTTTCTCACTAATGAAAAACGTTTTCACTTACATTTTTCTTTCCATTATAACAAGAGGATGCTTTTCATCCAGGTTTCCCTGAAGAGCTGTGCCAAGTCTGGCTCTCTCTTCATACAGAGACACTTGCTATGACTTTATTATTGTTACTGCTGATGAAGAGATGAAAGAATTAAACAGGAGATGCTTCCAGGCATTTCGGAAGACACTGGGCAGCTATATTAACTCCTTATTAAGCCTAAAAATAGTCTGCCATTTCCTGTTGATGCTGGGTTCCCTGCCACTCTAGGATTGCATTTACCCTTCTATGGTCAGGGGTCCCGCTTTTCAAAGACAGTAAATGAAAGCTGAGTTCTGATACTCCTTCCCATCTTCCTTTGCTCTGCTCTGCTTCCCAGCAGGGCAGATAAAGGGCTGAGGGGGGTCAGCCTTGGTTGAGCCTACGTATTGAAAAGACAAACATCTGCATTTATCGTGTTTAAAACGGACTGTTTAAGTCAGCATTATAGAGTTCTTCCACCCTCGTCTCCCTTGGGCTGAGGGGAAAAAAAATGTTTATGTATTAGGGGTTGGGTCCAATGTTTGCTGAATGAGACAAGCCAAAGGCTGAAAGAGAGAAGGAAGGGAAGGAGAGAGAGGGAGGAAATGTAGGCAAACAGGTTTTCATGCACAACCCCAAACCAAGAGGTGGGGAACAGAGCTATTCTCAACCTTGTTGTCACTGGGTTCTCTCAAGTAAGAAAGCTCTGGGTGCAAACACATCCAGAAATGAGTCCAGGGAGAAGTGAGATGATGTTGAGTTTGAGGACCCTAGTTAAGAACATGAAATCTCAGGTTTTAAAAAGTCTGCAACAGAAGCCTCTAGGTTGAGACTTGCTTAGTTAATATTCTTCAAATGAGACACTTTTGAAAACCCCAATGAAGCCTGCTGGAGGTCAGTCCCAGGTTGTGGTTTCCCAGGTGCCTGTTTTGGGGACCCAGGAAAGGGTTATATCCCCAAATGACTCTTCCTCCTGAGCATATAATAGGTAAGCCCACATTTAAGTTTCATATGGAGGAACCTATAAGAGGGCAATATTAACATAAGCACTACAGTTTCATTGCTAGAGAAAGTACCAACAAGGTCTCAATATTTCCTTGCCTAGCCTGGTTCTTTGGGCTACTCCTGAAGGTGCCATCATTAGCCTGGGTCAAAAAATGGAAAGGAGGAGTTTTCTCTCCTTCCCTGGAGCCTTTACAGGTGTGTGAGTTGGGGGAGGGAAGAAGGTTTCTGAGCTCTAGAATATCAGGTACCCTTTCCTTATACACACATACCATTCACACACACACACACACACACACACACACACACACACACACACACAGAGAGAGAGAGAGAGAGAGAGAGAGAGAGAGAGAGAGAGAGAGAGAGAGAGAGAATTTTAGAAAATTTTATGCTGAATGAGGAAAAGAAGTAGCAGAAATTTTTTTCCACCAATGTCTCCTATTGAGAAGGGGGTTCTTAATGTGGCTATGTAAATCAACACCGAGTTATTTCTTTGAATTCAAAGGCCATTTATCCAGGTCTAATTTCTTTAGAATTAACGTGATAACTGAGCCCAACTTAGCAACCAAACCCAGCCAAATCCTGGATGGCTTGAATGGACTGGCGCAGCCCCCACCGAGACTGCAAGCCTTGCTGGGAGATCCAGGCATTCTCAGTCCCGCATGTGTATGCAAACATCCTCCAGAACTCAACTGGGACAATTCTCAGACCCAATGAGCCCACTCCTACACACCTATCTCTGCAGGATACAAGTGGGAGGTGTCCAGAGGGCGGACAGCAGTGATATAAGTCCCAACATCTCATCACCTCAACACCTTAAAAAGTGAAATGCATTTTAGGCCTCCAATCCTCCTTCCTAAAATTTTAATGAGTATGATCGTTATCTTACAGTAACAGCGTCCCCCCCCCCCCAAAAAAAAAAAAAGAAAAAACCTCTTAGGCCTCCAGATTTCTAAATTCACTTGTATTTAGAATGATAAAGGCTTCGGTGGCTCTTCCAGCTCTCCTTCCCCTCCCAATAGCAAGAGTTGGCGGAGGCTCCCCAGAGAGCTAGACAAAGAGTTAGAAGCCTGGACTGCGCGGGAGGCGCCGGGGCTGAGAGCCCCTGAGGTGTGCGCCTTTTTGCAAGGCTCTGAAAAGCCCGAAGTTTTGCCTCCAGCCAAAGGACTGGCAGCAGATTACATTAGGGTGAGGCAGGGGTGACTTATAGTGCCCGCTTCGCAGTTTAACTAAGCTGCCCCAAACACCAGGTGAGGGACTAGGAAAGGAGCTGCCCAACTTCAGTTGGAGCAATGCGCCTTGGGCTCCAGGAAGTCTGTGCGAAGAACGCTGCACCTTAGCTGGTGGTAGAGGCCACGCTGTGACGGGCACTAGCCGTCCACCCTTGGGCCACAGTGGTCTTCCATCTCCTATTCCCTAGACTGGCGGGAAAGTGGAATGGCCATTCCTACCATTCTACCCTGAATGAGCACACCAAGACCGCTGTCCAGTCTGGTGAGACCCCTTGCTCGCTGCACACGCTCAGAGCCCAACCTGGGTCACCCAGAAAATCTCAACAAAACCTGCATCATACACAACTAACCCCCTAGATGCACACTTGCTCCCCTGTAACACAATGAAGAGATTTTATCCCCTACCTACGGAGGAAGGGATAAGAGCTCCAACAGGATACCTGAACAGACAATTCCAGCCTGCCCGGCTTCCCCAAACTTTAAACAAGCGAGAGGGAAATCCCTTTGCAAACAGACGCTGCGCGCCTTGGATCTGGAGCTTAAGTGGTGAGAGGACGTTTCCCAGCCCCACCACCTTCATGCCGCTCCAGAAGCTATCAGAGTTGCGGGGGGTCAGTGGGCAAAGCACAGCACCTGCGAGCGTTAAGGGAGAGATTCAGAAAAGTCAACGGGAGAAACGCCTTCATCGTGTTAACAGCAAGCTGCAGGGTATAGAGTAATAAAACTGACATGTCTACCTGCTGACTTTGAGGACATTACGAGCTGGGCGCGCAGCCCGGGTGCACCACCCGGCGCGCGCGCCCGGTGAGGGGTGGGGGGTGCTTCTCTTTCCCTGACTTCCCTTCCTGCACCCCATCAGTTCCTTACCCAGCCCATCTTTCATTTTCCTAGAAGATGTTGTTGTTGTTTTAATTCACCGACGATATGTAAGCGCATGGATCGCGTTACAGGTTCGCGTGTTAAACTGCACCTCTTGTTAAAAGGGAAGGAACAAGGGACGCCACTTAAAAAAACGAATTCAGAGTTACTGAACCGGCTCCCGGAACTCAAGAAGTTAAGCGTGGCGGGCTGGGCAAGGGAAGAGGGAGCAAATTTAGCTGCCGGCGAAACTATGGAGGAAACGGGCGGGCTGTGAGTCTCGAGTCTTCTGATAAAATTAAAGAAGGAAAGAATAGAAAAGGAAAAAGAAAAAGGCAATCTTGCCTGCGGGCTCCTGGAGACCTTAGGCGGGTAGCTAGGAGAATCAATTAGCATAAGCTGCAGTCGGCGACCCAGGCGCAACCTGGAAATTGAGCAGCTCGGTCTGCTACCACCCTTTTCTGGAGTTCCAGTAGCAAGCAGAGCCACTAAATTCTCTATTCTAGGATTCCTGGGGTCGTGTAGCTTATGGGCTACAGACGAAGTAAGGTGCAGAGATGTCCCAGTAGTTTTTTTAAAAAGACGACCGCCAACCTCCAGAAACCCCTACACAGGGTTGCTACCCAGCACATTTCTCCTTGTTACCAAAAGCTCGCCGTTAGTTCCCTGAGCCCACCGAAAGTGGGCACTGAGCCCGGGGGGTAAGGTGTGAGTCCTCAGATTTTGCCCACTCAAGCTACGCTGTCTGATCGCGAAGGCTTCCGGAGTCTACCTGCGGTCCCGGGACCCGACCCCGGTGCGGCCTGGCTTGCCCTTCTCCGCGCCTAGAGTTAAATCGGGTTCTCCTAC